GCTCTCTCAGCCCCACCTGCCTCCCAGGGTGTCTGTTGTGGGGAGGGGAAGGGAAGAGTTTGTAAGCCGCTCTGAGACACCTTTGGGTAGTGAAGGGCGGGGTATAAATCCAATCTCCTCCTCCTCCTCCTCCTCCTCCTCCTCCTTCTTCGAGGGGCCGCCTCCTTGGAGATTTTCAGGTGGTGCTGCAAGGCCTCCCACTTTGCCAGGGCTTTTGAAGGTGGTTGAACGGCAGGCGTCTTTTAATGGGGGAAGAAGGGGGAGGGATTGGGGGTTTGCGGTTTCGTTTCGGGAGGGAAAGCGAGATGGTGTAGCCTGACCTGGTCAGATCTCGGAAGCTGAGCAGGGTTTGGTACTTCGGGCTGCCGGCCTCCAGCCGGTTGAAAGGAAGCAAACAGCCGTGATGCACAGTGCCAGATCCAAACGCCATCAGCACCAACGAACTGTGCATATCGCACCTCGTTTCGTGTATACCTTTATCGAAGTGGGTAACGTTTGAATTGAATACTGGAAAGAAGAATGGACAAGCTTGTGAAGAACACCAGCGGGGGATGGGGGGGCAATGCTCCCTCTAAGCTGTGGAGTCTTGTGAGCAAAAATTCTACTTGGTGAGCTGCTGGCGTTAAAGTTGTGAGCGAGCGATTTGGCCACTGCAGAAATTAGTTTGCTCTGGAGCCCTCCTTCCTGAGCGGAGACAAAAAATTGGGAGCCAGAGGCTAAAAAACTGTGAGCTGGCTCACACTAACTCAGCTTAGAGGGAACACTGATGCGGGGTAGTGTTGCTGTATCCGGGTTGGGAAACTCTGGGAGATTTGGGGGCGGAGCCTGGGGAGGGGAGGGACCTCAGCGGAGACGTAATGCCACAGAGTCCACCCTCCAAAGCATCCATTTTCTCCAGGGAAACTGATCCCTATAGTCTGGGGATGAGTTTTAAATGTAATTCCAGGGGATCCCCAGGTCCCATCCGAATGCCGTCATCCCTCACCCCCCAGTTCTTATAAAACAGGCCTATTTGTTTCCACTTGGCAGATTCTACCAAGCAGAGGTCATTTCGGGGGGGATCGTGGGGGATCGCAGTTCCCCTGGGTGAGGTACGGGGGCGGGGCACATGACGAAGCCCCGCCCCCTGCTTCCGGCCACCCCGCTTCCAGCCCTCATTCAGCCAGGAGGAGGCAGGAGAAGAGGGAGGGTAAGTTGCTTCCTCCCTGCCTCTCCCCACCCCTGCCTGCCTGGGGCCAGGGAGGGCCTTGGCGGGGCTTCCTCGCACTCCCGCTGGCCCCAAGTCTAACGGTGCAGTCCTATGAAGAGTTCGGTGCAGTCCTATGAAGAGTTCCTCCCGTCTAAGCCGGCAGATTTCCGTGGTCTTAGACCGAGGCACCTCTTTACGGGAGCGCACTGTAAAAACGCTAATGGCTTCAATTACCCTTCCACCCTCGGCAAGTGGGGTCAACAGGGCAGCTTAAACATTTTGCTTTGTGTTCCAAGCCAGCCAGCTGTGACTTCACTCCTCGGCTTCGGCATTCATCATGTCGCTGTTTTGAATTACAAAAATTTCTCCGTCAGGGCAACATTCCCCGCAGAGACATAAATAGACTTTAACGTCGAGGCGCGCGGAGCGAAATGGATCACACGCGGGAGACAGAACGGGACGTCTGTTTGTTTTGCCGATTGTTATAAAATGATTCTGAACGGATCGTCCGTTTCTTTCTCCTTCCCTGCATAGATAACTTTCAAGACCAGATGAAGCGGGAACTGGCCTACAGAGAAGAAATGGTTCAGCAATTACAGATCGTAAGAAATCCTCCTCGATATTCCAAATAGGCCACTTCTTCCAAAACAACAATGTGGAATTCTCAACCGGCCTTGAATAAACTGGCATACTGGCCAACATAGATGGGGACAGGGCTATTTTTGGGCAGGAACGCACAGGGACGGAGTTCGGGCTGGCTCCTGAGTTGGCCACGCCCAGCAGGAACTCATTAGCATAATAGGCCACACCCAATAGCAGAAACTCATTAGGATTGGCTACATTAGGGGTGTGTGGCCTAACATACAAAGGAGTTCCTGCTCCAAAAAAAGGCCCTGGGTTTGGACAACAAACAAGGTAAACAGAATAAGAAGCAAAAGGTGGGTGTGGCTGGATGACCACACTTCTGGTAACATGGGGATGCGGCCTAATGTGCTAATGAGCTGTGCTGTCAGGGGTGTGGCCTAATATGCTAATGAGTTCCTGCTGTTGGGTGTGGCCTATTATGCTAATGAGTTCCTGCTGGGGGTTTTCTACAAAAAGAGCCCTGGATGGGGAGCCATCCCTTCCTGAGCTGAGACAAAAATGTGTGCGCCGGAGGCTAAAAAACTGTGAGCTGGCTCACACTAACTCAGCTTAGAGGGAACACTCCTGGCAAGATCACCGTTCTGATTCCCCACCCCGGAAGAGGCGTCATGTTCAATGCTATGACAGCAGCTCCCCCCCACACACACACACCGTGTTCTCACCCCCTCATTTTCCTCTGGGTGCTGCTCATCTGCTGCCATTGGCTGGCCGCCCTGGGGTTCACCGGCAGACTATCAGACCGAGGAATGACTTAAAACAACTGTAACATGAAAAGCAATTAACAGTGCTGTCCTAACCACAGTTACGCCCTTCTCAGCCCATTGAGTTCAACAGATTTTAGGAAGGTGTAACTCTGCACAGGATTTCAGGGTAATACGTCTTTTGTGCAGCAATCTGGGACCCTTGTTCTAGCCCTGTGGTTATGTCATCTCAGGGCAAATGCTCAAACTATTAGTCCTCTAGCTCTTTTAAACACCAGGGAATGTGTTGTAAATTATCAGTTCTGCCTCTACCCAGTCTAACAGTTATCTCCATCCCAATTTTCATCCTGTGCTCCTAAGGGACTATGGAGGTTGGGATTTCAGTTTTCAGTGTTAATTCTCATACATCTTGGTTTCTACACCAGGTGGTCCATTTAGCTAGGAATATAGGAAAGGTGTTAAGAAGAAGAGATTGGATTTATATCCCACCCTTCACTACCCAAAGGAGTCTCTGAGTGGCTTACAGACTCCTTTCCCTCCCCCTCCCCACAACAGACACCCTGTGAGGTAAAAGAAGAAGAAGAGATTGGATTTATACCCTGCCCTTCACTACCCAAAGGTGTCTCAGAGCAGCTTACAAACTCCTTTCTCTTCCTCTCCCTACAACAGACACTCTGTGAGGTAGGCGGGGCTGAGAGAGCTCTTTTGAGGACTGCTCTTGAGAGAACAGCTCTGAGATAACTTGTCACTGACCCAAGGTCACACCAACAGCTGCATATGGATGAGTGGGGAATCAAGCCTGGTTCTCCCAGATTAGAGTCCGTGCTCCTAACCACTACACCAGACTGGCTCTTAACCCTTAAAGCCATCCTGCTCTTGTGCTTGGAACACCAGTTCCCGCTAATGCCTTCCTCCAGGGGCTGTTAAAATCTCCACCTGGTAATTTCTGTCCACACCACGGCTGCTTGCGGTACAGGAGCAAGACAGTTGGCAACCTTAAATATATAACTTCTGGCACACTCAGGGCTGATGGTGCATTGAAGTATCACAACATGCCCTGAAAATATACCCGTGTTCTTCAACAAGGGGGCGGGTGAACGTTCTGCCAGGAACTTCCCAGTCTCAAAGTGCCCTCTCCTGTTTCCCGCACGTTACTACACCTTCCAGTATCCACAGCATGAGCACGGGGATGCTCGTAATTAAAATCATACTCAAGCGATAGGTTTCATTTGCAGTTTCTGGACACCGTGAACTTGTAAAGATTCTTGTTTTTATGATTTCCTGAGTGACTTCCTTGGCTTCCCCGATAACTGGGAAACTGGCGAGACAGTCTTCTCCCTTTCACATCCTTTGACACAGGAAATTAATTATCTTCGGAGGCAAAAAGCTTCTACCGTGAGTAGGGTTGTCAAGTGGCCTGGAGAGAAAAAAAATGTCCTGTCTCTTTAATAGAAGCTTTCTGGGATGGTATTTACCTCCATGACCCTGAGAAGCTTCAGGTCCCAGGCTTGGAGGGCCAGTTTGGTGTAGTGGTTAAGAGCGGCAGACTCTTATCTGAGATAACTGAGTTTGATTCCCTACTCCTCCACATGCAGCCAGCTGGGTGACCTTGGGTCAGTCACAAGTTCTCTCAGAGGTGTTCTCTCAAGAGCAGTTCTCTCAGAGAGCTCTCTCAGCCCCACCTACCTCACAGGTTGTCTGTTGTGGGGAGGGGAAGGGAAAGGAGTTTGTAAGCCACTCTGAGACACCTTTGGGTAGTGAAGGGCGGGGTATAAATCCAATCTCTTCTTCCTCTTCTTCCATTAAAAGGACGGGGCATTTTTTTCTCCAGTCTTGTTGGCAACCCCACCATAGACACCAGGCCGACCACAATAACCACCCAAGGTTCTAAAATCCCAGGAGGTATCTGGGTAAGGCAGCAATCCTATGCCGAGAGAGGCATATCTCAGCCCCTTGATTCTAAGGCCTTTAGGGGGCCCTGTAAGAGTGGACTGCACATGGTTTGGAGAAGAAAAACTGCTGCCTGCACTTCTGGATAGATTCATTTTTCCATGGTGGAAATGAAGACTGCAGTCTATGATTATGGCAGAGCCAGGGGATCTCAGGACAACATTGAGTCCAGACTTACTATCACAAGAATGTGATAGTAAGTAAGCAAGGTTCCTGAAATTAATAATGAAAATGAGATCTGAGATCTCTCTCTTAACCCTGTGATGTGCTAGGATGCCTTGAATCTTGAATACTTGAAGGACCACACGTCAATATGAAGTTCTCTAGACACGGTGGTCATCTCTGGTGAGCCCCTGCTTTGTGGGGCAGGACCTTAGTAGCTTTCATGGGTGGCAGGACCTTTTGGGTGGCGGCACCAAGATTTATTTATTTATTTATTCTTCAAATTTGTGCCCCGCTCTCCCAGTCAAGGCCGGCTGAGACTGTGGAACACTCTCTTGCATGAGGCACAATTAGCACCTTCCTTTGCTGAATGGAGAGCCAGTTTGGTGTAGTGGTTAAGTGCGCGGACTCTAATCTGGGAGAACCGAGTTCGATTCCCCCACTCCTCCACTTGCAGCTGCTGATGTGACCTTGGGTCAGTCACAAGCTCTGGCACCACTGTCCTTGAAAAAGAGCAGTTTGTGTCAGAGTTCTCTCAGCCCCACCCACTTCACAGGGTGTCTGTTGTGGGGAAGGGAAGGGAAAGGAGTTTGTAAGCCGCTCTGAGACACCTTTGGGTAGTGAAGGGCGGGGTATAAATCCAATCTCTTCCTCTTCTTCTTTTACCTCACAGGGTGTCTGTTGTGAGGAGGGGAAGGGAAAGGAGTTTGTAAGCCGCTCTGAGACTCCAAGTGAAGGGTGAGGTATAAATCCAATCTCCTCCTCCTCCTCTTCTTCTTCTTCTTCTTTCCCAGTTCGGCCAAGATTTTTGGTTTACCTTAAAACTGGCTCCATTAGAGAGCTGAATTCAATTCCCACCAACAAGCCTGGGAGAATGTACTTCTGTGTTTTGGCTTCATTCATTCATTCATTCATTCATTCATTCATTTGATTTATACCCCGCTCTCCCCACCAAGGCAGGCTCAGGGCGGCTTACATAAAATGCGCATATAAATATAATTAAGATCCATCATAAAAACAACCAAAAACCATAAACAAATCAGTTATCCTAAAGTGCTGGAACAATATTCAGATTGTTGCTTGGATAATGGTTGCATATGCTTGAAAGGCTCTTTGAGGGTGCTTTGTGCCAAGGGAAGGATAGTGGTGATCTGATACATCAAATCAATAAGTAAATATCGCAGGGCTCTTTTTGTAGCAGGGACTCCTTTGCATATTAGGCGGACACACCCCTAATGTAGCCAATCCTCCAAGAGCTTACAGAGCTCTTCTTACAGGGACTACTATAAACTCTTAGAGGATTGGCTACATTAGGGGGGGTGTCGCCTAATATGCAAAGGAGCCCTGAATAGTAGGCTTTTCCACATTCTCATTTGCTTCACTTTTAAGTTCCTGTTTTGTCCGGGGGGGGGGGTCCTGTTCAACCTGTGTTTTACTCCATTCTAGCGGTTGGTTAGATATTACACCAGTTTAAGTCCGGCATATGTCCCTGCAGATCTGAACTGCGGATTTTTATGCTGGAGATAGACTGGTGTAATGTCGCATCCACCACTAGAGGGAGCAAAAGAAGTGCAGAACGGGGGGGGGGGATCCCAAAGACATAGGAATTTAAAAACCAGGAAAATAAGAATGTGAAAACACTCATTGTTCTGAACAGAGTGGGACAAAGAAAGAAATCTTCAGTCAACTTGGGGCACCGCCAGTGTTCCCGCTAAGCTGAGTTAGTGTGAGCTAGCTCACAGTTTTTTAGCCTCCAGCTCACAGATTTTTGTCTTAGCTCAGGAAGGATGGCTCCAGAGCCCACTAATTGATTCAGGAGCCAAATTGCTCGCTCACAACTTTAATGCCCGTAGCTCACAAAGTAGAATTTTTGCTCACGAGACTCCACAGCTTAGAGGGAACATTGGGCACCGCCACCAAGAGGATCATGCCCAAGACTTGGGAAGCTACTGAGCTTGTAAAACTGGGCATGAAAACTTCGATGTTACAGCGCCAGACAGATTTCATCCCCTCGGCCTGTCTTCTTCTAAGAGCTTCGCCTCAGATACCCTCCTCCTCCTCAAAACCTTATGATGGCTTTCTCTGTATCTTTATAGATCCCCTATGCAGCAAGCTTGATCAGGAAAGAGAAACTGGGCACGCATCTCAGCAAAAGCTAAAAGGTGAGCGCGTGTGATTGGAGACTGGACCACACCGTTGTCGCTGCTTCGCTCCCGCTTTGCAGTATGGACTTGGATGAAACTTCTGGGAAGTCACTCTTGTTCCAACTAGCCTACCTCACAGGGCTGTTGTGAGGATAAAACGGAGGGGAGAGCTGTGTATGCCACCTTGAGCTTCTGGGACAATGGGGAGGACAGAAATGTGATCAATGGGTGGCTTTTAGAAAGAAATAGACACATTCCCAGGAGATAGGATCATGGAATCACAGAGTTGGAAGGGGCCATACAGACCATCTAGTCCAACCCCCTGCCCAATGCAGGACCACCCTAAAGCATCTCCGACAAATATTCGTCCAGCCTCTTCTCGAAAGCTGCCAGTGAAGGGGGAGCTCACCACCTCCCTAGGCAGCTGATCCCACCTTTGAACCACTCTGACAGTGAAAAAGTTCTTCCTAATATCCAGCCGATACCTT